AGGGAGAGGGAGAGAGGGAGGGAGAGGAAGGGAGAGGGAGGGAGGGGAGGGAGGGGAGAGAGGGAGGGAGAGGGAGAGAGGGAGGGAGAGGGTGAATGAAGAGGGGAAAGAGGATGCCTGCTTTATGAGTTGCCCCGCCAGCTTCAGCTCCTGGATGCTCTTGGAGGAGAGTTGCTTTGCGCGCCTGAAGGGGAGTGAGGAGGAGAAGGCAGGAGGGAAGGGCGAGGAGGATGAAAGAAGAGGAAGAGGAGGGAGGAAAGGGGAGCGAGAAGCCAGAGGAAGTGCAGGACCTGAGCTCTGATTTCGCAGCCTCTTTCTGGTTGACAACATTGTCCTCCTGAACAGGAGTAGAGTGAGAGAGCAGAGATAGAGTCGGATGATTGAGAAGATAGACGATGGATGGATGGATGGAGAAAAAGACAAGGAGGGGGGGGGAGTGGAATTCATTAGAGGAGGAGAAGGAGGAGGAGACCTTCTTCAACTTGTTCAGTATCTTCTTCTGCTTGTCCATCGCTGACTCGAAGTTGGATGACTTGGGCCACTCCTTGGCAATGGCCTTGCGGCGGATGCTCTCAGCCTGACGACATCGTAAGAGGAGGAGAGAAGTGGAAGGAGGAGGCAGGAGACATGGAAGGAAGTAAGGAGAAGAGAAGGGAGTTGACTGTGAGATAGATTGGGGTGAGGTGGGGAGAGGGTGAGAGGGAGAGAAGATTGAGAGAAGAGAGTGGGAGATGGACAGGAGGAGGATAGGAGGAGCTTCACCTTAGCCTTGAGCTCTGCTGCTTTCTCCAGCAGCTTCTTAGCTGTTGCTACGTGCAGTTTGTGCTGGGACGAAGAGCTCTGTTGGTCTGATGGGGACCTTGACTTCTCCTGTTCGCTCCTCCTCTCGGCCTGTCGGAGCTCGTCAGCTTCAGCAGCGAGTCAGGAGCAAGTTCCTTCTTCCTTAAAAGTGACACTCGAGCCAGGCTGATGGCCAGCGCTTGCATCTGCCGCTTCCTGTCCCTCCTGATCACCGCGATGACGTCATCAATGTCAACGTTGGGCAGCTTGATCGAAGCCTGGCCCTTGGTCGCCTTTCCCCCCTCCTCCGCCTCTTGCTTCCTTTCCTGCTTCTCCTTCCTTGCCACCTTGTCGGGCTGCGACGCCTCCTTCTCGATGTTCTTGAGCATGAGATCGTCTCCCGCCTGCATGTTCTCGAGCTTCCTCTTCAGTCCACCTGTCAACGTCGCTGCTAGGCTGTCCTTGTCGTCCAGCGCCTTGAGACCCGCCACTGTCGCGTCGTTCTCCACGTTCCTCCTCGCCTCCTGCTCCAGCTGCCGCACCATCTTCGGGGTGGAGCGCAGGGCTGAGCGGGAAGGAGGAGGGGACCATGAAATCGCCGTGAGGAGGAGGAGGAGGGTGAGGGAGACGGCGGCGAGGGCGCTATACCATGACGCTCCCATCGACGAGAACGACTGGAAACGAGAGAAGTCAGAGTGAAGCGTTCACTTCCTCGCGTCCTTCGATCTCCTCTGCTCTCCTCAGATCGTTACTTTTGCTATTTCTTTCCTCCCTCCCTTCTCCCCTCCTCCTCCTGTCTCCTCCCGTTCAGCCCGCTCCTCTGCGACGAATGCATTGCAGATGATACTGATTCATAGCGATCTGGTACATGGAAGTCTCAATCGTTTCCTTCTTCTCTTCCCTCCCCCACTTTCCCTGACTCACTTTTTGTGCTCCTCCACCGCCTCCTTCCGCTCTTCCACTGCATGTTCTCCTCTCCTTCCCTCCCCTCCCCTCCCTTCCCCTCCCTCCTCTCCCTCCCTCCTCTCCCTCCCTCCTCCCTCCTCCTCCTCCTCCTCCTCCTCCTCCTCCTCCTCCTCCTCCTCCTCCTCCTCCTCCTCCTCCTCCTCCTCCTCCTCCTCCTCCTCCTCCTCCTCCTCCTCCTCCTCCTCCTCCTCCTCCTCCTCCTCCTCCTCCTCCTCCTCCTCCTCCTCCTCCTCCTCCTCCTCCTCCTCCTCCTCCTCCTCCTCCTCCTCCTCCTCCTCCTCCTCCTCCTCCTCCTCTTCATCTTCTTCGCTCACTCTTGTAGTTCTTCTCGTGACGGCAGTCCAAACTCCTTGGCAAACTCCCCGAGGTCACCCATCGACTGCATAAAAGTCAGACAAGTCAGACAAGTCAGACAAGTCAGACAAGTCAGACAAGTCAGACAAGTCAGACAAGTCAGACAAGTTAGACAAGTTAGACAAGTCAGACAAGTCAGACAAGTCAGACAAGTCAGACAAGTCAGACAAGTCCCTTGACTTGTCCCTCAACATCCCGTTCCTCCTCCTTTCCTTCCCTCCTCGCTTCCCTTCCCCTCCTCTCCTCTCCTCCTCTTCGATCTCCTCTCCCCTGCTCTCCTCCTCTCTCATCTCTTCTCATCTCATCTCATCTCATTCCCCACCGCCTCACCTGCATGGCCAGTAGACGGGGAACAGAGACGCGCAGGAGAATCAAGAGAAAAGCTGCGTTGAACACCTACAGCAGGTTGATACCACAGCCTCTTGATCCTCCTCCCCCTCCCTCCTCCTCCTCCTCCTCCTCCACCACCACCACCACCACCTCCTCCTCCTCCTCCTCCTCCTCCTCCTCCTCCTTCCTCCCTCATCATCATCATCATCATCATCATCTCCATCATC